TTTCTCTTACGATCAGTTACATGGTCCTTGGGCATGCAAGGAAGACTAGTCTTTCTTAGGTACCAGTGAAGTGTGAATCATTTGAACATCTTACTAGTATGTACAGTATGCAAAGTCAATGAAATAGAAACACGGCCTGGTTTACACCTGAGCGGTTGTACATGCGTATCTATCTGCTCAAAGCACACATTTCAATGGAAGTCAATTGCAACTGTTCACAACTTAGCTTTGCGTGTATGAAAACACCTGTCCTTTGTAGATTATAAGGAATATATATATATTTTTTTCTTCTTCTTTACATGCAGCACTTATTACCTAACTGGGAGAAGCAGAACAATTAGCCAATGAGTTCATGCGATAAGGGGGGGGAAGCAGAGTGACAGATAAATGAGGTAATCACTGTTGTTTCTCCTTCACCATCAGACTGGTTCCATGGGGGGGGGGTTTGGTCGGTGGTATCATTCAGTGACTGCTATAAAATGGTACCACAACCTCATATGTATCGAAATGCAGAATCACACTTTCTTTTTTCATCCTCCACGTTGCTTCAGGAGTGAAAAAGCGACACAAAAATCATTTGACAGTGATGCAGTTTAGTATCATTGCTTTCACATTACCATGGTGCCCATGTCCCATGACTAAATTCGTTTGGAAACGCAGTGCACTGTATAGTAGGTCAAACAACCCTCAGGCAGGTGAGGGTTACAATCTGACCATACAATCAAGTTTAGATTTACCAAAAATTTAATATGAGGGCTTACCTAAACTTTCCAATGAGTTTGTATCCAATCTGGCTGGTCCCTGCACTACACTTTGATGGCTCTAAAGGAGATTGTACCATTAGACTGTTAAGGTGTGTAATGAACATTATGCTTGTACGCTGCATAGAATCATTTGTCTCAGCACAGAGGACTTACAAATCTGAGGTATAAAGTAAAGCCGTCCTCTAGAGCCTTGGTTCTCAACTGGTGGGTCGCCATGTGCCTTCCACTTTTCTAGGCATGAGACTTTTCAGCCTCCCCCCTAGCAAAACACTGCCAGTTCTTGCGTCAAGCAGCCATTCATATGCACCTCGGCACCGAGTGTCAGCTTGAGGTGATGGTGGGCTTGAGCTATGGCCGCAAGGGAGCTCTATCCATATGTGCATTGCTTACAGCTTCCTCGCATGTCCTGTAGAGGTGCCTGGACTGGAATGACATCACATTCTGGTTCAGGCATCTCTACAGGGCAGGCAAGGGAGTTGTGCAAGCAACACACATATGGACAGAGCTCCAGCACAGCAGCCCACACTGGACCCCAGGCTGAGAATCCACTCCAGTTCTCGTAAGGTAGGAAGACTGGGTGGACCTTAAAATAATTTTTGGAGTGTAGGATGTGTGAGAGATTGGGGTTGATTTACTAACCTTTTAAACACACCACGAACGTGTATACACCTCTGTAGTGTGTTCCCTCCCAGCATGATCTATGGGTGGAATCGAAACACCTTTGTAGTGTGTACACACCCAGCAGGTGTGTTGTGCAAAGCCCTGCAATGAATTGCAAGGTAATGTGGTGTAAATTAGCTCTAGGTTATGTTGCTTGCGTTGATGAATGCAGGAATGTAAATGCATGAGCTAACCATTTTTGTCTAAACTGTGAAGCAGCATTATATATGCATCATGTGCATGATTTTTCCATATATGGCATTAGTGGAAATATGCTTTTAGAGACTTTTTGGTTGATAAATACGTTTTGCTGTGTGAAAATCACACACACCTGGTGTGTGTGTGTGTTTAGGTTAGTAAATCACCCCCATTGTGTCTGTCAGTGTTTTTGAGGGCCCGTTCACACTAGTACAGTGTGTTAATCGGACAGTCCTGTGTGATTACCACACTGTACCATGCAATCGCACCTACTATGTGTTCTGGTGTGGGAGGCACGTTGTGTTGCCATGCAATTGAATGGCACCCCAAACACACCTCCCACCCACAGTTCAATCACCCTCACCAATGCTGTGCGTTCCATTTTAGTGCGACTTGGGTTGCAACTTAATGACCAAGGACAAATGCGGGGCACAGCTCTAGAGGATCCCAGCTTGTGGTTCCTAGAAAATCTTTAAGGGTCCATTAACACCTTTCCAATCTGTTGCAGTGTGTTATTGCATATTATGTCATGTGTCAAGCAGCCCATTCATTTTGAATGGGCTGCCAACGCACCACGACAGACTAGAAAATGAACATGCACTATTTTTTGAAAGAGCACAGTAGTGCGTTAAGCTGCAGTGCAGGATTGTTCCCTGCGTATTGGGGTGTGTGTATTGTTTGTTTCCTCAATGCATAGGCATGAATGGGCCCCAATCTAATGTGCTCTAGCCTATCAGGATTTAAAAAAATAAAAACACACACACTTTGCTTGCTGTTCCTATTAGGTTTATAAAGCAATCACAGTCTTGACATGCAAGATAATTCAATTATAGACGCCCAGACAGAGATGAACATGTTCATTTTCCTGCCTGATAAAGGTGTATTTAGTTTTCCTTCCACAGGTTCACTTTAAATAGGATGAGAGTAAACTACGGCCAGCAAAGGAAGCAGGACTCTGTTCTAGTGGAGGAAGGCACAGGGAGGCTTTGACAGACGAGGATGGAAAAGCCCCGACTTTCTTCAGTGCCACGTCAAAAGCCTTCCACGAGTACAGAAATTATTCTTAACAGGATTCAGGAGAACCCCTCTCCTTTGTTTAACATAGAGCATAACAAAGGCAACCTGACATATTAAAAATACCCTTGTATAATGACTAGGCATGCATTGATACCGTTTTTTTGGTAACTGGTACCAGTAGTTTGCTTTTGGTACTCACAGATTACCGATACTGGAGCTTCTGCTGGCATGGACCCAGGTAATGACATGCCGTACGGCTTCCCAACCAGTCAGCATCAAGCCGGCTGTTCAGCCAACTCGATAATTTGCCAGGAACCTGGCTTCCCAGCCAGTCAGCAAGGAGCCAGCTATTTGGCCAATCAGTGAGGCGGGTAATTACTCGCCACCCGGCTTCCCGATTGCCCAGGAAGCCATGCCCAGGAAGCCAGCTCCATGTTCCTCTACGGCACTGCCAGTCAGAGGAAATCTTCCTCTGACCGGAAGTTCCAGTATCGGAACACTTGGGCGAGTACAAGTACTCGCCCAAATACTCAGTATCGGTGCATCCCTAATTATGAACATATAATAGTGATAGGAAAGCAGTCTGACCATGATCATTCACCAAAACTAATAAGAAGAATCGTCTGCTCCAGCCTGTGCTTCCGGCTATGACCCTAAGAACACCATCCCTACAGTCCAGCACGGAGGTGGAAACATTATGCTTTGGGGCTGTTTCTCTGCTAAAGGTACAGGCCGACTTTGCCACATTGAGGGGCCAATAGACGTGGCCATGTATTGTAAAATCTTGGACGAGAACCTCCTTCCTCTCAGTCAGAACACTGAAGATGGGTCTTTCAGCATGACAATGACCCAAAACATACCGTCAAGGCAACAAAGCAGTGGCTCAAGAAGAAGCACATTAAAAGATCATGGAGTGGCCTAGCCAGTCTCCAGACCTTAAGCCTATAGAAAAATGTATAGAGGGAGCTGAAACTTCAAGTTGCCAAGTGACAGCCAAGAAACCTTAAGGATTTAGAGAAGATCTGTAAAGAAGAGCGGACCAAAATCCCTCCCGAGATGGGTGCAAACCTGGAAACCAACTACAAGAAACATCTTACCTCTGTGCTTGCCAACAAAGGTTTCTCCATCAAGTACTAAGTCATGGTTTGCTTGGGGATCAAATACTTATTTTACTCACTGAACTGCAACTCAATTTCTAACATTTGTGTCATGTGTTTTTTCTGGATTTTTGGTTGATATTCTGTCTCCATCATTTAAAATACACCTATGATAAAAATTATAGCCCTTCAATTTCTTTGTAAGTGGGCAAACTTACATAATCTGCAGGGGACCAAATTATTTTCCTCACTGTATCTCTCACACATCAATGACGACAACTATTTTTATGGCATAAATAGTAAAAAATACATTAAAAAAAAACCCCACACAAATGTTTTTGTTTACAGTCATGATTTATTTTATATTAATGTTCTGCCCATAACTGTAAGAAAACATAAAAACTCCAATTAAAAACCTATTTAAATATTTACAACAAACATTTTTCACTTTCAGGACTGCAATAGAACTTAAAAAGGGCACATTTATAGAGCAACTCCGCTCAAAATGCAATTCTCTATTTTTGATGAAAAGGAACAGGGTTTGATCTGATGCTGGATCTTCAACACCATCTGGAATCCCAATAGCAGTTACACCCCCCCAACCACAGAATGGCTGTAGCAGACTGTGGAGGGACACTGGTGATGCAAGTACTTTATATGAAAAGACAAGCGCAAAGGGGAAATAAAATGCTTTAAGCCAGTGACAATAGGACGTTTGTGGAAAAGTTAAGCTTTCAGTCTTTCACGACCATGACAGGTGAAGTAGCAGATCTTGCCATCATCCATGACAAAAAAAATAAAAAAAATATATGGGAGTGGGAAATCAACCCCACCCACCACTCCAACTAGGAGCAGATTCATTTTGGATGGAGAGACCTCAATTGAAACAAAAATATAAAAGTTTTAAGGAATAGAAAGCCTGAACATTTTCAGTTAGGTTTTCTATATTTAAGATTCAGCCCTGGTTTGGACCGAACCAAGTTCAAACCCGAGCGCCTCCGGAAATAGAAGAAAGCTTCTTCCGCTGCTGCCCAATCGGGCTGGGCAATTCTCCACAAGATGGGTTGCAGTGATGTCACTGAACTTATATGGCCACATGGCATCACCAAAAGCATTCCACCCTTTCGTTTATGGGGAAATGCCCTGGCCCAGAGCCGATTGGGTGGGTGGCCCATGGCATTTTCATGCTCGGGGGAGATCAGGCTTGATCAAAACCTGAGCTCATCACTATATATAATAAAACAATAAAAAATATTTAAAAATAAAATAAATTTGAAGTTCGCTACAACACAGCCCCTATGCCAGAGACGCTGCCAGCAAGTCTTGACAGTCCATATAGTCCACAATCCAAGGAAAGTGCCTATTTGGCTACTCCACTTCATCCTGAGCTGTGTAGATGGCCTGGTTTCTCCTCTTAATCCTTACAGTGCCCCGTCCGTTCTCATCACTCAGTCTCTTAAGTTGCCTCTCTGGGTTCTTTCCTTCCCCTTCCGTCTGACTGCTCTCTGAACGTTCCTGTTCATCATTCGTTGAATCCATGGCATCATCTGAAGAAACAGCCATGGAATCCGGCAGGACACGCATATTAGAGAAGCTTGGGGAATATTCTGGAGGGGGCTCCGTGGACCGCACAGAGACGTCTTCATCATCCTCCTCATCCAGAGTGATCTCATCGGGATTAATTGAGGAGGAGAGGAGAGAAGTGTCAGTGCTGTATTCACTGGGATCTTCCATCGATCCGCTGCTCTCTGCGTCATTATCTTCTGCAGCATCAAACTCTCCACCCTCATCATCTAGTTGTCCGACTTTAGCATTGAGGTCAATAAGACCAAAACGAGCACAGAACTCTGTGGTTTGAGGGTTAACCGTGTGAGAGGCTACTCTCTTGTGCTGAGGATTGTTTGGGTCATAACAAGGAATGGTGACACTGAAGTTGCATGGAATAGTAAGGTCATTGCCTAAATCTTTCAAGACTTCTTGCTTCATCTGTTCAGTAGCCTTGTAATCCCACCTAAAATTAAACACCAACATTACAATCCTACTAAAGGTTATAAAGTCCTGATAGAACAGAAAATGGTAGGTCCCACTGCACTCCTTACAGCGTTCCCGGCCCAAATTACAATGGTGGTGCTCGCAGTGATAATCACGAATGGCGCCGTGCACATCAACAGTAAAAAGCAGGAATCACCAGCACTCGGTAAATAGTATTTAAGTAATAAACGTCCATTTATTCAGACCAGTCGTCACAAACGAAATACCAACGTTTCGGGTGATCTCATCACCTTGATGATGGGACCCTGTGCGGCCCCGAAACGTTGGTATTTAGTTTGTGATGACAGGTCCGAATAAATGGACGTTTATTACTTGAATACTATTTACCGAGTGCTGGTGATTCCTGCTTTTTACCGCTGATATAAGCACACTCATGGAGAGAAAAAAAATTACACTTTACAGAAGTTACTAATGGAAAATGCATGAACTATATTTCCCATTAGGAACTTCTGAAACAGCTTAGCCTGTAGGATGTAGCAATGTTCCTGATGCGGGAGCGTGCACAAAGTGCAGTGTGACGGCTGGATAGAGACAATTACTTCAACTATTCAGAATCGCTGATTTTTAAACTACGAAGGATATGAGAAGTGTTTACTGACATGAGGCCTACCAATTGTTTGGGTCTAGGGAGCTGGTGAGTGCCATCCAGTACTCCAGTGGTTAAACAGAGATACAGAGAGGGAAAAAAAAACAAAAAAAAAAAACACACACTTTTCCTGGACAAACTGGTGTTTGCACTCTTATCATTAGACCCACAGAAAGGGTCATTACTGCATACAAAAAGACTACTGACCAACCCAATTTCTATTTTAAATATTCCAAAACAATACATTTTAGGCCAATAGGATCTAAAATCTGCCTATCCACCAATTTCTCCCGTATGTAGCCGTAATTTATTTCTGAATCAAAGTTAACCAAGCGGCAATAGCAGTGTCTCCAGGACAATCACTAACTGGTAGAACACATCATTATCTCCAATAAACCAGAAGTAAATTTGTTATTCTATAGACTCGTATTTCTAGTTAGCACTGGTTGGACAGTGTACAATGCATGAATGAACCCTTCACTCTGGAGTGGTGAGTGCGCCATAACTCACCTGCTGTGTAGACCATTGTTCTCAGGCATGTTCCATGTATTTGAAGTTACATTAAGAAGCTCTTTAGTTGCTTTTAGGATACACATCCATTCAAGATCATACTCCAAGCTGTCAGGTTTGCTAGGATCATGTTTCACTTCAACAATCTAAAAAAAAAAAAAAAAAAAGGAACAAATAGGAAATCCTAAGTAACAGAAATAAAGTATTTGTAATATATGACAAGACATTTTTTTTTTTTTACAGAAAACCATTCTTACCTGGAGAAATTCCCGATGTGGCAAGCACTTATCCAGTGCCAAGAATTTGGTTGCTTTGGGTAGCTCTCCTTCTACTTTATTCTGTAAAGGAAAACAAACAAACATTCTGGTTAACCCACATCAGTAGCTGAATTCAATTAAAGACAGGATTCCGGTTATATATTTAATGCAAACAAATTAAGAAATCTCAAAAACTGTAGGACCAGCACATGATGATCTTCCAAAGAAATTCAAACTTTATTCCACTTGCATCTATACAAAGAACACCTATAGCTATGACGAAGGCTGTGTAAGGTAGAAGTGCGTTAGCGATTGTCCCTTGTATAGATGCGAGTGGAATAAAATTTGAATTTCTTTGGAAGATCATCGTTTGCTGGTCCTACAGTTTTTGGGCCTATCACTCCAGAAGAATGATCTGTGGATTACAAGCATGAATGGTAGGGTAGGGCTGAGCTGTGCGCTTCTAAATTAAGATAACTGCCACCAACATAACTGGAGAAGAAATAGGCTTTGTACCCCTCTTCTCGCTAATGAAAATAAGAATTTAGTTATGGACAACAGCTACATGCCTTTTCCAGTCTTTCAGAATATATTAGCTTCTCTGTGAAAGCACTTACTGCCTGTTAAAAAGAATACTATGAGGTGAATGCTTTTCACTCACCTCATAGTTCTAGCCGAACTGTGACAATGAGACTGTCACAAGTCGGCTCAGTAGATCAGGGAGTGAGCGAACACATATCGGCGTTCGCTCACCTCTCGATCCTGTCACGGCTCTCTGTCGTGACAGGGGAGGGGCTGAATTCCCCCCCCTCCCTGCTCCGCCAGCGCTGACTGGCGGGACGGACAATGGGAGGGGGCGGGTACAGCTGGGTCTGCCTCTAAATAGGCAGAGCCAGCTGTCGGTCACGCAGCTGGGCGGATCCCGACATAATTGTCGGGAGCCACTTCAGCTGCGGCGTCTTGATATACCGCGAGCAGCAGCTCGCGGTATACTGAGGCTAGGGTGACGGGAGGAAGCTAGTTTGTGTCCTCCCGTTACCCTAAGGAGAACTATGGGGAAAAGCCTTAACCCCATAGTTCTCCTTTAAGGAGTCTCTTTTCCTAAAGGGTATCTTGGTCTGACAGAAATATGGTAAGTTTCATTTCCAACTCGGAAAAGGAAGCCTTAGTATTTCAGGAGAGGTTTTCTTTTAGTGTGATGGAATAGTAAAGTGCCAATACATAATCATGCCATTGTTAATGCTTTGCTGAATACACCTTAAATGTATATTCTTCAGTCTCCTGACTGGCTAACTATGCATGCCAAGAAATTGTGGGAGAAGTTGATGCAGTTTCCACCTTAAGGCCTCATTCACACACAACGTAAGAGCAAAATTGTATATTGCGTATATGCGTGCACTATACACAATCCCAGAATACATCATTCGTAATAGACATTTTAATGAACTGTACACGCGCGTAAAATATGCAGAAATACGCTGCCCGGACACATCTCGGTACCATTCCTTTTTTGCGCATTTTTACGCTACACAAATATATATACGGCTATGCAGCGTATTGCTGCGTATCTTACGCGCATATACACGTGTTTGCGCGTGCAAAGAAAACCTCTCCTGAAATACTAAGGCTTCCTTTTCCAAGTTGGAAATGGCAGTTACCATATTTCTGTCAGACCAAGATTCCCTTTATGGAATAAAAATACGCAGCTATGTGTATGGAGCCTTTTATTTGCATATGGTACAATACGCACGTACGCGAGCGGCAGTGTGAATGAGGCCTAAAAGTAATTGACAGCCTGTAAAACGGTTCTGTTGCCAGGCAGTTGATCATGAGGGGCAGACTTTACAAATCATAATAGGCAACAGAAAGTGACGATTGTGAGACATTTGTATATTCTATACACTGAGGCTGATGGAGCCGTACATGCAGTCTATGGCTAAGCTGCACATGGGAAAACCTTTTCATTCACCAGTTTATATACAGGCTTTCAAAACAGAAAAATTAGAATTATTACAAGAAACGTGGAGAATTCTTACTTGGTGTTGCATGAAAGCAGCAAATTTGACGTGCAGGTGAGCAGAAAACCAGTATGATGGCTGCAGATGGTGGAGGAGTTCAGCAGCTGCTGGGCTTCCCAGAGTGTTGTTTTCTACTTCCTGTCTAAAAAAGTCTTTTTTCTTCAGCAGCTGTTTCTTGTTTCCATAGTGATAGATGCTACGGGGCCAGTCATGAGACAAGAAGACATCCATAGGCTCTTTAATCTGAAAAGCAGAAGAAAGAAATTGGGTATCAGCAGTGTTCTGAAGCCACAAGCCCAATTCTTAAAGTGACATTAAACCCTCAGATTTTTTAACATAAACCAATACTGTAATGTGTGCCTTACTGTAATCCATGGTTGTTTCCCTTCCCTTTGCTGCTCTTCCTTTTAAATCCTCATGTCTTCTCATGCTTGGGGAGAACTTCCCTTTGCAGCTGAGTGCCCCTTCCTGTAGTGCTGGCTCAGGTTGTGAACCTTCACACAGACACCATGTAGCCATTCCAGAGACAAGGCACTCTGCTGCAAAACAGAAGTTCTGCCCAGCATGAGAAGAGAGATGGATTTAAAAGGAAGAGCAGCAAAGAGAAGGGAAACCATGGATTACAGTAAGGCGCACATTACAGTATTGGTTTATGTTAAAAAATCTGAGGGTTTAATGTCACTTTAACTTCTAACACAAAGCACAATCCTAAGAAACAAAATGACATGCACGAGCCTATGCACAAACCCACTTTGAGAATACTTGTATTTCCACAGGCCCCTTTTAAGACTCTAGAGATGCTTTTAGGAAGGACATTATTCTTATGTTACCTACTTTCTGAAGAAAGATTGAATTTAGCTGCTTTTGTTACACAGCAGGGTTGCTAGAGGATTGTTAATACATATAGCACATCTTAAATTAAAAGGAGAAGGGATTTTGCAAGGTCATGTAAGAAAAGAAGAAGCAACATGCTAAATATACCTATCACAATAACCTAGTGCAGGGGTGCCCAAAGTTCAGCCTGCTAGTTTCTTTTTTGTAGCTACACTGCAACAAGCTAGGGTCTTTCACAGTTTTATTTTGGGTTTTCTTCCATTGTTCTTTCCTTAGAGAACTACGAGGAGTGAAAATCACCCATAGTTGGAGCCGACATGTGACAATGAAACTGTCACATATCGTCTCAATAGATCGGGAAGTAAGCGAATGCATTCAGTCGCTCTCTCACTTCTCGATCACCTCCCTGCAGAGAGCCGCGACTGTCAGTCACCTCTCCCTGCAAGGATTCCCCCCTCCCGGCTGCGGCAGTCTCAGTATACCGCAAGCTGTAGCTCGCTATATACGGAGCTTTGGGTCACGGGAGGAGGTTAGTATATGTCCTCCCGTGACCTTAAGAGAACTAAGGGGAAAAACACTTACCCCATAGTTCTCTTTTAAAGCTTGAGGTTTTACTGACTATTTAGAGGGATAGGTGTATCAATGGGGAATGAGTAACTTTAGGTTATATAAAAGACCATTTATGCAACTACGTGTAAATATTTGTCTCTACCTTTGACAAACTTATGTTACCGCAGAATATCCTTCATCTGCCATGGCATACAAGCAAAGGAATATGGCCTTTGGGGGATTGTTTTGCTTTTGGCACTGTGTGGGAGTCCCCCCC